TGATCATGTAACAACTTCTTTACAATAAAGTAAACTCCATAAGAGAGTAAATTTCTTTACAAAAGTAGAGGGAATGTTGATGCGTATTTGATCAAATGCTGACCAGTAAGTGGCTAGTCGGTGCATATTTAAAAAAAATGAAATTTTGTCCGTTCCGCTAGGGGATCAGAAAAATAAAAAAAAAAATAATAATAGATAAATACAAAAATAATAAAATATAAAAACACAAATACTGTAATTGTTGGCTTTATTCCTAGTAGCCGGCAAAAGAGTTCCTATTATTACTAATGATATTTTATAATAATTATCAGATGAATATACGTATAGTACATATTGATAAATAGTATCAACGAAAACATAAAAACAAAACATAAATACTTGATGAATTATTACTATTTCGGAACTCGTTAAACCGATGTATTTTTTTTGGGCTCAAAGCATCGTTTTATTAAGTTGCCTTTAATAAAATTAAGTTAACATTTTTTAATTAAAAAGTTATACATATATTCGTCTATACTACATTGATGTGCTAGTGAACTTTTATATAATAAAATGCTATTTCTAAAACGAGTAGCATTCGTTAGAATATAAATCATTTATAAAATTATATATACAAATAAAGCGATAAATCATCTTATCAAGTTATAATTTATTATATGTGGAACCATATTCAATTTTGACAAGGTATATACTAATTGTTCATTAGAGTTTCGACAGAGTTTTGACAGTCACTAAGAGGTTTCGGCGAGCAACCTTAGTATGATACATGATGACTTTGATTGACAATTGTAAATTTGATTTAGTAGATCAATTTTTTGATAATGATCATTAGTTTGATGTTGTTCAACCTTAAACACCAATATATTCTTCTAAATTGCTAGTCAACATGCACATGCCAATTTCTTTTGATATTCTAGTTTAGAACTATTCAAATCCTGATATTTTTATACAAGAATTGCTGATAATTTATATTATTTGCAATAAATCTATCACACTATTCTACAATGCAATGGGCTTCATCAATTACAAATTGGATTCCTTGTGATTTTGATAACCTTTCCAACATTTTTTGAAATCCAATATTTTTAATAAATTATTCTGGTGTTGTTAGTAAAATTCTGAAGCTATTTCCATAAAAATTTTTTCATGGACATGTGGTGGCTGATCTGATGATGCAAGTAGTGTAGCAGATGGAACTTCCATCTTTACCAATTCCATCTGTACATGATTATTTTGCTGAATGTTAAATGAATGAATTTACAATTATAAAAAAAAAATATATAAACCATATGCTTACTAATTGATCTTCCATAAGAGATTTTAATGGTGTAAACACTACTGTTAAACCTTTAAAAAGCAATGCAGAAGCTGCACATATAAGAGTTTTTCCACCTCCAGTTAGGATAACAGTAAGTGTATCCATGTCCTGTAATAAATGATATTATACTTTCCTTTTGTAATTCATGATATTTTGTAAATCCAAAAACCTCTCTACAAAGATCAACAACAAGGACTTCAATTTTCATTGTATGTGGTGTGTTATCATGAAATTGATTATTTGGAATCAGTTTAGAATAGCCATGTTGGAAATTAAATTCACACACAATACAAAATCCATTTTTAGGGAACCGTTTGGAAATGAATGACATCCTTGACATTTCACCAATGAGTCAAAATTATAAATAAGGAAAGAAAAGGATAGTCTAAATTTTGTATTTTTCATTTCTTCCTGCATTATGTGTCCATAAGGAACCAAATCCTATAAAATTGAATTGTATCTTAATTTTGTTGCTTTTTTCTTAAAAAAAATTTATGATAAGAGATATTAACATACCTTTGAAAAATCAAAACTCTTGAGATTTTCTTTTTTATCCATAACTTTTTTAATACATGCTTCATTTCGCTCAGTAATAACAGCCACATTTTGGCTTCTTTTTCGATTTCTTTGTTGTTGAATAAAAGTGTAATATTGATAATGTCCTGTTCTGAAAATTTCACCTGCTTCACAAGCAACCTTCAATAAATATTCTACACCATGATTATTATGTAATATAGCTAATACATGTTGAGCAGGAAAAGATTTTGGATAATCTGTTTTCTTATCTGTATAATTGAGTTTTATATGATTAACAGCTTTTTTTGACTGGTTCTGATATTGGAAATGAGAGTTTGTCTTGAAGGTAGTTTCATTATGTGTTCAAGGAACTTAACTAATTCTGAACATTCCTTCCTATTATAATTAATTAAATTTGGCTCCATTAAAGTTAAATCAGAATTGTCTACATTTCAACAAAAATCAGGCCAGAAATTTTCATGATTTCCACAAAAATGTGAAACCACCACTTGTGTCTGCATATGAAACAAATCATCATCTGTTGGAACTTTTGTCTTATCTTTTGAGCTATATAAAATTGCAGCATAAACACATTTATTATAATAACTCATTATAGGCTGCTCAAATAATTTCCATTTATTGTTTTTTGCTAGTTAAAATAAAAAAAAGTTAATCATCAATCTTATATTAACAATGAAACTAAAAAGAATTCATAACAATCTTTGTTCGAACTAATTTTGCTTCATGTTTAAAGTCTGCAACAATTAGATGTACTATCTGCTGTCCACCCAGTACCTTGTTGCTGTTTAAGTCACCATCAATACAGATATCAAGAACAATATCATACTCTCAAGAACTGGTATGATTTTTTCTATAACTTCTATAAGAATGGCATGCTCCATTTGGCGAGAACTCATGTTGTAGTTACCTTAAATGTCTTTCCTGTTCACTCACAAAAGTTGTTCTTCCTGATCGACAGTATTTTTTTCTACTTGGAATTTCATCTAGAAGCTCTTGAATCCAATTGATTTCAACACGTTCCTATTTTTTTAAAAAATGGTAGCATTTTAAAAACAAGTATAATAAAATGTGTCTTCATTTTCTATTTGTATTTGTATAAAAGTTATATTTTTACCATGACTTTTGATCTTAAGCAAGGTTGCAGGGAATTACTCAAAGTATTTATTAAAAAAATCTAAAAAATTTTTATACTCTACCAGAAGGGGAAAATTTTCACTATAGTATGAATAATGTGGAATATATATTAAACGAATTGATTTTTAGATAAATTCTTCTAATTAAAGACATGTAGTAGTCACAAATTTGGTGCTTCCTTGAAAAATATCAAATCCCGTGATCGGCTCCCTAAATATTTGTTTGTATCCTTAAGTTTTAATAAAACTCTCTCAAAATAAATATGTCATCACCAATTAATAAACCAAACTTATCCATAAAAACACAACAGCAACAATATTCAATCGATCCAATAAACGAATCATCATTATCGTCATCAATTCATAATGCAACTTTACAAGATATAGCCATCGGAATAAATAAGATTGAAAACATTTTACTTGATTTTACCAAGCAAATGTCTTTACTTAATGAAAACATTTCTCAAATAATAATAAACCAATCACCACTATCACCACTTCCTCAACAACTATCAGAAACTACATCATCACCATCATCGAACCTTAATGTACATAATAAAGATAACCTTGTGCATCAAGTTGACGTATCACAAACTGAAGTCAGAAGAAAAACAAGCATCAGAACTTATAGGGAACCCGATGCACTTGGTCATTTATCCTTACAAGTTGCTACATTATCTACAAATGTGGCTCAATTGCTTTCTCAACAGCAAAAGCAACAGCAACAGCAGAAGCAAGTACCCTCTATACAGATACCACACCAATTACCATCAACTACAATACCAAAACAAACACATCCTCATCCTCCACAACGTCCGCCTCCGCCTCCGCCTATTACATCTCTTTCACCGTCACTGTCTCCTCCTTTAAATTATAATTATTCAAATTTATTAAATCCACGAACATTAAATAATCAATCACGTAATCATCGTTGGAGTTATGATTCAAATCGAAATCAAATAATCCAACATAATTATCATAATCATCAACAACATCAATATCTTCATCATCATTCACCTATTAAATATAATAATATAAATAGAGAAAGTATATCAGTAAGATGAAGCTATATTGTCATTATTATTATTTATTAAATTAAATTTATTTTTATTTTATTTAACCGTAAAAATTTTTTATAGCGAGATTTACAAAATCTTGACAAGGAATTGGATGATCCAATCGATAAATTTGAAAATATGAGACTTAGACCAGAATTACTCCGAGGAATTTTAAATTTTGGGTAACTAATAATTATTTGATTAATTATTAAACTATATTTATATTATTATTATATATATTTATGTATTATCATTAATTATAATAATAATAATAATAATAAAGATTAGATCGACCAACTTCTATACAACAAAGAGGAATCCCACTGTTACTTAATGGATTAGACGTTATAGCGCAAACACAAATAGGACAAGAGAAAATAGCAACATATTCAATAACGATTTTACAAAACATTGAAATATCAAATTATAAATGTCAGGCCTTAATAGTTACATCAACAATTGAATCAGCGGAGCAGATTTATCAATTCATTCTCGGCGTATCCAATTTAATGACAAACTTGGAATGCTTTATGTGTACTGGAGGAGCAAACAACGATGAAGATGTTAGAGAAATAATGAAATTGAAACCACATATAATTATTGGTACTTGGAATCGAATATATGATTTGGTTAATTTGAAATCAATTGATTTATCTTATCTAAAGATCTTTGTAATCGATGAATTAGACATGCTAATTCAACAAGGATTTAAAGATCAAGCAATTGAGATCAGACAACAATTGCCATTCACGACTATTTTACAAACATTATTATTTACATCAAATATTACATCAGAAATGATGGATTTTAGTAATGTGTTGAAAATGAGAGAACCAATCAAGATGTTGGTTAGGAAATCAAATGATCAAAAATTATTAAGTTCACCACCATTAACATCAATACCATTATCACTACCATTACCATCATCGCCACCGCCACCTCCGCCAAAATCATCATCTACTTCTATTAATAACACTAATAATAATAATAATAATAATTTAAATGTTAGTGCCAGTAACTTTAATAATAAAAGAATTTCCAAAGTTATTATAAATGCTCCTCCTATTACAAATAGCAATATCAATAACAACAATAATAATATTATATCATCGACAGTGAATAAACTCAAGAATAATAATAATTTACAAAGTTTACAGAAATTACATGAACAACAAAGAAAATACAATGAAATGAAAATATCTATAAAACAATATTATCGTTATATAGCAATGGATAAGGGTGATTGGAAATTGGAGACGTTAAATGATTTTTTTGATGACATTAAAAACCTTCAAACAATAATTTATTGTAATAAAGAAAAAACAATTGAAAAAATATGTTATAAATTGGCATTAAAAAATTTGGAAACTGTTGCTTTGGTTTGTATATATTTTATTGTATATTATATATTATATATTGTATATTAATTATTTTTCTGGGGGGTTTTTTTTTACAAAAAAAAAGCATGAAGAAATGACGTCAACACAACGTGAATCTATTTTAACAAAGTTTTTAACAAATAAAGTTCGAATATTAGTTACAACTTGTGTACTAATACAAGGGAATGATATATGTGAATTTATACCTTTGATAATAAATTATGACTTGCCAGCTTCGCCTGAAATTTATGGGCAAAGGTATTTATATAAATTTTTTTTATTACTAATCGGATGGCAAAGGAGAGAAATAAACCAAAATTTGTTATTTTATATATATGTAGAATTTCATGTGCATCATCTAATACTAAACAAGGCATAGTGATTTCAATTATTAACTCGAGATCAAAAGAAATGGGAAAGTTGAGAAATATTGAAGAATTTTATAAATTTAAAATGCTTGAAATGCCTGATAACTTGTTTTCATATTAAAAGTTATTTTGTATATTTAATTATTATTATTTATTGTTATTGTATTATTATAATAATTTGATCATTTGTATATTTAATCATTAAACATTATTCTTATCAAATGTCATGGAAAATGAGATTTCAGTTTCAAATTTTAGTAGCTATTTACCCCCAATAGCCAATAATTGTTTATTTTCATTCATCGTGTAGGACACGCTGCAACAAAGTGCGCGCGTGAGAAAACATTTTCAAAATCTCCAACTGTTGATAAAGGTTTTTGGTTAATAAATTTTACATTTATTTTAGTAGCCCAACAAAATACCACAAGCAATTGTGGAGACCTTTTTATTTCTGTTATATTGATCACTCTTTTAGCACTACTGAAATTTTTGCTTTTGAATTAATGCTTGAAATCCTTTTATCAAAGTTAATTGAGATGAAAACTGAAAATTTTACGCAGAACAGTGAAAAAATTTAGTATTTTTCTTTTCTATTTATATCGTCTCCTTTATTTATCCATTTCCTATTTCACCCTTATTCATCCATCCATTTGAAGGTATACTGAAACTCGTTTACATAAGATCTACAAGAATTACGGCATTAGAAGAATTTTGGAAAAGGAACAAGACGAGAAAATTGTATAAATGATACAAGTAAAACCACTTGACGTAAATAAAAACACTTGACGTAAATAAATGCTTGATACAAGTAAAACGCTTGATACAAGCAGCAATAATGATAATGATAATGATAAAATAGGATTATCAAAAGTTCCAAACTATGTAAAATGTGTGTCACGGGGATGAATAAAGAATTATTATATCATTGTATGTATATTGCAATGTGCAAGAAGAATAATTATCGTAGAAGTTTACAAATGTTATAATTTGAATTAAAACTTTTACCTAATTAAACTACTTGTTTTTTTTCCCGTATATTTTCATTCAAAATAAAAATATCTCTTCTTTTTTGCAAATTAAAACTATCCTTTTATTGTTACATAATCAAATTGTCTTTACATACATATGAGTTGTGTTAAATTAATATTTTTGACTTTTGAAGTTAACTACGCGTAATAGTGATACGCAATAATATTAATAATGTGCTTGAGCTGTCTTTAATGTCTGAGTTTGAAGCAATATAGATCGATCAAATATTGGTACTCGGAACGACCTTTACATAGCACATAAGACAGGTTTTGGTACATATTTTTGTAAGTTTTAATTTCGTTTCCTATTTTTATCACTTTAAATCTTCAAAGGATTTTTATTGTTGAATCATGATAAATGATTGGTGATGAAGTTTAAATAATGTAATTTTTAAAGGCAATCAAATATAAAAAACGTTGTACGAAAAAAATTGCTTGTTACACATTATTCAATTCTCCGCAAAAAATCTCCACATTCATTAAAACACCAAGTCGAATTTTATATTTTATATTTTATAATGTCACATGCTAAACTATTATTGTTGTCATCACAAGAAAGAAAAAACTTTGTATATAAAATTTATAGTGAAGTATTTAATGATGCTAATGCTAATTATGATAGAGAAAGTAGAAAAGATTATTTTTTTTCGTTTAAAACGCTTTGATAAAAGCAACAAGTGTAGTTAATGCCGTGGTGAAAGGTAATAATTGTGGAACTTTGGTAAAAAGCCATGTTTATTTGCTTTAATGAGCAAGGTTAGGACTAACTAGTGAGTGCTAACAACGATTAATGAGGTAATTTGCTTTGGTGAGTAAGCAAAAGTTAGCCGGAAATACTGGTAATATTATTGTAATCGTAAACGTAAGGCCGTTAAACAAGCTGCTCAAGTTGTTTTGTCAAATAAACCAAAGCGAGTTTGCAATCGGCTAATAAACGTAAGCAAGGGCAAGAGACTGAAACAAATCGATCACAAGTGAATAAAAGGAACTTTATAAACCATAATTGTTAATTAACTGAAATGATACTTCGCAATATCACCATTTAACGAGAATCGAAAAATTGGTAAAAAGTTTATTTCAAAATATTATTACAAGATAAGAAATAAAATAAGGATGAAATAAATAAATAAAGAATAAATTTATAGTGGAGATTAAATTAGTCATTCATCAATTCTTTT